GCTTCGTCCCCATCACTCCAACGCCGGCCTCCATGCTCATCGAGATCGGAGAGGTTCGCTTCTTGTTCTTGAGGGAGAGGGATTTGAAGGAGGAGGAGAGCATGAGGAGATTAGGGTTTCTGCTGGAGATTGGGGATGAGATCGTTAGGGAGCTTTGCAGGCCTCCGGAGGCTGCCATTGCTCGAGAGCAGTGGGGTTTTTTGAGGAGGAAGAGGGGGAGGGAGGAGGCCTTCTGCTCTTAACTTCTTCTTATCCTCCTCTTATCGGATTGAAGGCTGCTAGTTTAACAAAACCCACCCTGAGCTTTGAGAGGCTTGCACACAACCCCCTGAACTTTGCAACACGGACGCCCCTCTAAACTTTGGGGTTTCTCACAAAACCCTATATTTCAAGCGGTTTGTGAGGTAAATAATGGCTCCGAGGTTATGTGCAACACACCTAAAGTGCATAAAATTAACCTATGTTTTAATTTTAGTGTTTTGGACTTTCGTTTTTCTTCCCCCCTTTTTTGAAGGAAGGTTTTTCGGCATTAGCCCCTAAAATCTTTGATACTTTGAAATTTGTTCCTCAAACCACGGAAATTGCTATTAGGTCCCTAATTCTTATGCGGGGAACTATAACTGCAATTTCATCGACTTCAGAGACTAATTCTTACCCAATTTCCTTTTTCATATTAAAGAAAACATGAAGAAAAAAGAAGATACACATCACAGTTTGCCATCTCAAACAATTTACATGATTTTATGGTGCAAGCTTTAATATGTTTTACTTTTTTTCCCCCAGAAACTTTTCATATTTTTACGATCCTCAATGCTCTTGATAGAATGCCCATCCTGCAAATGTTCGCCATTTACTAAACATCAATCATAGGAATATTAAGCTCCACGATAAAACATTAGTTATGAGGATAATAACATCTCCTATATGATAAAACATTAATAATGGGGGTAATAACACCGACTGTATGATACACTACAAGCATTCTACAATAATCTGTTATAAGAACAGGGCAAAAGGATTACAGACAGAGAGCAGATCCCCCGTCCAATCTAAAAACACTTGACACCGCCACCACAACCACCAACACTATAAGCATCGACGAGCAAAATTGTTGCAGCACATCCCAATTGTACCATGACGATAAACCATCTTTCTCATCCTGAGACGGTCATAATTTTCCTACGCAATGCGACATCCTTTAATTTGTTAGCCATGTAATCAAGTCTGCAGTAGCTGCATCAATTTGGGACTATTTGCATAATCCCTCGATTTTAGGAACTGTGTGTGTGGTTATTATGCGCGGTTAATAATCTTGTTTGCTTGGGCATTCAGAAGCCCTGTGCCCGGTCCTTCCACAGTTGAAACATGCGCCTCCAAAGCCTCTGTAAGATTAAAACAGTAGTTTATATCTGTTAAGAGTACAGAATGATAACCTTCATCACAATTTTGGAGTTTTGTTGTAGTGAAAATGCCTTCAACATGGTATCAGAGTGGGTTCAAATCTAATGGCCACAAATTTAAAGCAGAATTTTATAATAAAAAAAAGAGGAGATACTGCTCCATGAGTACAGTTTTTGTCCCATGAAATGGCACTCAACATGAGGCATGCTAGAGTACAAAATTATAATGCCTCCAATGAAAGGGCACTCAAAGTGAGGTATGTCAGTACAAAATTATAACCCCTTACCCTCCCCAAAATTTCACAGTTTTGGTGTAGTGACCGGGGTTAAACACTATTGTTCTTCATGAATTCACCTAAATGATTTGTTCTTGCTCAAGTATCCTAACACTTATTTCTGAAAATGAAACCGAAATTTCGAAAGAAAATATAACAAGGAAATCCATACCAATAATGGATTGGAAAGAACTCAACACATTTTCTGGTAATTGCTAAGCTCTACATAGTGACTGTTGATGCATCTTTTCCTCTAAAACCCCCCCTATTGGAATGGCTATGAAGTCAACTAGCTTATTGCGCATCAGCTTATCCATTTCTACCATCAATACCTCATGGAAGAGTCATAACAAAGAACATAGTATTTTCCAAAAACATATAGATTTATAAAGCAAATTGCTAATTGCACGTTAGAAATATGGAACTCCAGTCCTTATATCCAGAAGAAGAGCGATGTAATGAAGACAGATTTTTCGCTAAAACTTAGATGATCATGATACCTGTCTCTACTCCCAAATGAAGATGAGCGGCCAGACCCTCTTCCACCAGCAAACCGATCATAACTGCTTCCTCGGGAGTTCCTAGACCAGCTATTGTCACTTCTAAAACTTCGTCCACGACGAAATCCATCATCTTCACTATCAGAGTCACGGCCACCCGAGCCTCTTGAGCCTCTGAATCCACGGTCCCTAAAACCTCCTCTAGTGCGACGATCTCTACCAGAGAAACGGCCATAACTGTCACTAGGAGGACCATCATCTTGCAAGGCAGGCAACTGCAAAAGAAAAAGATTGAGGCATTTTCATCACTTTGGGGGTAACTTTTTTTGTGTTTAGTGGGAAAACAAAAGTTTTGGGGAGTTTCATGTCAAGCACCCCAAGTATTGAGAGTTTTGTGAAATTTACCCAATAATTAACTAAATGAATAATAAAGCAACCAGGAAGCATCCAATAGATATACATTTCTCAAAACTTGCAGCATAGATACCAATTGCCACCGAGGTATAGCCAATGGAACAAATCACATTTTTACTGAACTGAAGAACTTGTTAGAAATGATAAATTAGTGCCTTAAAGCTTTAATGCTGAGTTGACGGGACAATAATACATTTACTACATCATGCGACTTAGAATTTTTGCAATGCCATTCATTGCGGAAACTTTATGCCCAAGTTAAGAAGTAGGAGGGGAACTTGGAATAGCTAGAAAAGTAGCTCAACTCGTTACTCCCCATAAAAAAGATAGAAGGAACAAGAAAATTAAACAAATTTACTCCGCCCTTCATTCTTCATCCCAAGTTTAATATACCTAGAAGATTTAGCTAAACCATAAGGTGTCCAAAACACCTTTTCACAATAGAAGACTAAAGGGTACATTAGAAAAGGTAGAAAAGTACCTTTGTAATCAGCGATATACTATTTCCGGGGGAGAATTGCATGCTCAATAATTTTTTAGCTATCTCCTCAGGTAAATCAAAAACTGCTCCTTGAACCTGACAATCAAAACTCAATGCGAATACTCAGACATTTGTAGATTGATTCAGAAATATTTAAGAAAAACTGAAGAAGATATATACAAATTTTTTCAGAAAGCATGCATATTTTGCTAGTTTATTTGAAGGTCGGTGACCCACAAAGGTATTCTAATATAAAACATGACTCGATATATCTCATAGTCCCCTTCTAGTAAGCTAATTACCTCACTACCATTATACATCCGTAGCTTATATTATTTATGTCTATCCCGATTAAAGACAGAAACGAATTGTAACAAGAAGCTGTTATCATTTCATAACCGATTTAATTCAAGAAGTAGATCACAATTAACTCATAATTTAGATAAGAAACTCAAAAGTAAAACCACCCAATATTTAACAGTTGGCATGTTAAACCGAGTGCATCAACTTCCAACCCAATCAAAATTGGAAAGAGCTCAACTCATGACAAGCGGCTCCTCTTATTTCTTTTGCCACTTTTTCCCCGAAATTATCTAATAGTTGAATCCTAATAGTAAGTTCCAAAATATTAATGCATTCCATGCAAGTAGCTCTTTGATAATGGCCATGGTCATCACATGACAAACTTATTCTATGCAAAGGCAGAATATCAGACAGAAGATGGTCCATGACCCAACGAGAAGATAACGGATCCAACATCTCTTAGTAACAACAGTATTGAATATATCACCAATGTAATGATAGCAAGGTCGTTTCAGTCCGTCACATTGAACTGTGTACTGGATACGCAATCACTATTTTTGGATATTTATTTCAAGAGTAAAAGAAATGTATTACATGTAGCGTGAACATGGAAAATGTTGGATGAATTAGAAAAGAGATGAATTCTTAGAGAAAAGTATAATCATAAACGAGAAAATAGATCAAAGATTGGAAGACATCATAGATCATGTTAACAGGAAACTTGACGAGCCAAAGATCTGATATCAATTTGATGAAACCTAAAGTTGATTCGCCACTGTTCGCACCTTTTTTGAATTAGGTGTGGCCTTTATATATCGATATATAGAACTATTGATTTTTCTTCAATATGCTGTCAATCAATTAATTGTATAATTTAATCTATGTGGTTTCCACTTTCAGTCGTAAGGATAAGTGATATCAATTTACAGGTCACCTTAATAATTAATTGCAGCTGACATCCATGTATAAAATGTATATGTAAGTTGTTAATTTCTATAGAAAATCCAACAAAAATAAGGCCTTATAGCAGTTATACGAACTCGTAACATGTGAAAACAAAGGCATGTTTTTCTTCTCCTGTATGCCACCCACCTCCCTTCTAAACAAATTTCAATTAGGATACAGGCTCCTATCAAATTGCAATCATGATTTTTCTGGATGTTAGCAGTCAAAAGTAGCTCTTACCTGATGCCCACTCTATCATGATACACACTGGATGCAAAAAAATGATGGCAAAGGCATAGCTACATTCTTACAAGTACTATCATATAGGAATGCTAATATGAACCTACTGAATAACTGTATTAATACCTGGTATTAATTTCTACATTAAAGATAGGCTCACCCCCACCCCCACACTCCCCCCAAAAAAAACATTTATGCATTAGTGATGGGATACCGTTGATGGAAAAACTTCTGTGGTATATTAAGTGAAATCAAAACATCATATTTATAAATTACTATTTGGTAGTGCTCACCCTGTCATCTGCAATCAAGTGTATTTTCCCAATTTCATCAGCGGCAGCAGGATAGACATCAGAAAGAAAACCCATAACAGATCTTGCAGAAAAGAACCCTCTTGAGAATCCTGGTTCACGAATCAATTGTAATGTCACCCATCCCTGCAAATGAGATAAGTCATTTCAAGTTCAAGCTTTCCAATAAAAGCATAAATGTACTCCTGCTTGAAGTAGAAGATCGTCATTGTTCATGATACTGGTTTATTGACGTCATTGCGTTAAATATCCAAATACCACGAACAATAACAAGCTTATTTATCACTATACCAACGAGTGACGTGTCATGTGTCAAGCATGTGACAAAAAAAACAAAAACACCCCTCAACCCTCAAAACACACCCTTTTATCCTTTTTATTATTTCCATAATTTGTTGACAGCTGAGGGGTACTTTCACCCTCTTTTGGTCACATGCTTGGCACATGACACAGTACACTTGACGGTGATACTCTGGGGGATGAAGTGAAAAATCTTCAAGCAGTTTAGTGGAGGAAAAAGAAATGCATAGGGGTTATGTGCAAATCCCCTCAAACTTTGGGGGTAGGGGCATTTGGAATTAAAATAGTTAGTGGATATCTCAAAAATGTCCAAAGAGGGTTTTTTTTGTGTGTGAAATTCACCCATTATATAATTTTCTTATAAAGAGATCGAAAATATCAACTGTCATTTTCGTTAATACTTAAGTAGTTTTACTTATAAAGAGAACAATAGATATATCCACCTGCTCGTGGCTGATAAGAGAACGGGAAGAAGGTGGTTGAGAGAATCCACTCAAATGAGCCAAAGCAGCAGCAAGAGCGTTGGTGCCCTGCTCATCTATCAATTTTTGGGCCATCGGGAGAAAAAATTGTCTCGACTCAGGATGGACACCTTGCAATGTAGCAACAACTTGCTCTGATGACGATTCAAGCACGTCTTGAATCTGTGGGGGGCTTATAAACTCAAACCTACATCCTACATCACGCTCGAGAGATTTAACAGTTCTCCTCTGACTGCCAGTGAACATCAATATAGCAGTGCCTTCTTTGCCAGCTCTTCCAGTACGACCAGAGCGATGAACAAAAGTTTCAGGATCATTAGGCAGTTCATAGTGAATGATCTGCAAAGAGAGTAAACAGCCAAAAAGTTTAAGAAAGAATTTGAAATAGAACAAATTTTAGCAATAACTGAATATTTGGACACTGAAATATACAAGCTATTCATTCAAATTAAGGAAAATCTTGAGAAATATAAGACAGATGTGCAAAGAGTATTGTGAAGTGCATGCAAGATTGCATATTTAATGATAGTAGCAATATACCTAGAAAACAAGTAATACCTCAATAGGATCATTGACATTTTCTTGGACTTTCAAATAAAAAAAGAGCATAGTTAAATTATCATAAAACATATGCATGGAAGAAATTCAAAAGTTCCTATGACTAGTATATCTCAACTTATACTAGTATTGTCACGATCTCCAATTATACATGACTGTGGCAATGAGATGTCACTAGCTAGAGCTATGTTTTTTATTCTTCATAGCCAGCAAGGGCAACATTCTATAACATAATTGAACAAGTGGCTACCAAATTTGAAAACAAGAAAAATTAACCAACTTACCAAATCAACATTTGGGATATCAAGACCACGAGCGGCAACATCTGTAGCCACAAGAACGGTGAACTTTCCTTGACGGAAACCATTGAGCGTTCTTTCTCTTTGATGTTGAGATATATCCCCATGCAATGCTTCAGCAGCTATACTGTTGGTCAAGGCTGTGGATACTTCATCAGCATCCCTTTTTGTCCGTGTGAAAACAATTGTCTTTCCACCCTTTGCATACACCTAGAGCAATATTTGATTTTCTCAATACGAAATAAAGAAAATAAAATATTTTCCACGAATAAAAAAACTTTCATACATAGATCATGCAGTAAGAAATGTACAAACAGGCAACAGATGATAGGAAAAAGTAGCTTAATTAAGAAAATACGGGAAGTAGCTGAAACAAGTGAGGACGTTATATAATAGATAGAACTCTACCAAAATATATATATGTATACCGAGACAAATGAAGATAATAGAAAAACTAGCTAAATCTTACAACTATGAGGAAAAAGTGAAAGGAAAAAAAAAAGATATGTATATTAGAACCTAAGAAACATATACTCAGCAGCTTGACATATTGTCTGAATTTTGAAGAGCAAAGAATTGGTATAAATTTTATAAACAACATCGCTCTAGCACCCTGAAGCTAGAATGCCAAAATAAATAACCTGAGGGATTAAAATAGTGATTTTATAAATAAAAAAATCTAACAGTACCAGTCACTTAGAAGTTCCTAAAGCAGTATTGAAAGATAAGCAGAATATCAGCAACCTACATTGCCACAAATGCAGATGAAGACTCGTACAGGCTATTTTTCCCAACATACCGTAATTAGGTCACTGAGGACACTACGCTTAGAAGTTACAGTTGACGGTAGCGCGTAAAGTTTAATTCCTTCTGCCAATTTTTCATCCTGATCACCAACCTGCATAAAATAACTAAGCATGAAAAGAACTGAAAAAGACTCTACAGTGCAAAAGGTCAAGATAACATTCTCACACGCAGATATGTCTACATTTATTTTTGTCATAATTATAAGAGCAGAAACCAACGATGGGTAACAACTATTGGACTAAAGTACATGTTAATTGGTGACCACTGAAGAAATACACAGAATAGAGAAAATTTTATCAGCAAATATGATAAGAAGAATATGCTGCTGCTAGACCTCAACACGTAGATCAATATTTTCATAACTATAAAGGAGACAATATAAAACAGGGATTAATACATAGTGAGAGAAACAGACCATGACTTCATCCAGTGATATGAGCTTTCAAAAATCAGATTCAAATTTGAACCCATAGTTGAGAAGATATTATCGATTTCAACATTTATAAAATAAAATAAATGCCGAATGTCCAACCATAATTGCTCTTTGGATTATGTTTTCAAGACTTGTTCTTTTCAGAAGAAAACAAAATAAAGCCAAAATGTTTTGAAAGTTTAAATTAAAGGTATCCAACATCTCAAATATGTCCAGAGATTAGGGAGATACCAAATCTATTGTCAGAGGATTGTCAAGATATTTTCGAGCCAATTTCTTAACCCAAGTAGGCATAGTTGCAGAAAAGAGCATGCTTTGACGTTCTGATGGAAGCTTTTCCAAAATAACTTCTACATCTTCTTCAAATCCTACGGCAAGCATCTGATCAGCCTCATCAAGAACTAAGTACTGAACCTCACCCAACTGGAGACTATTGCTATTAACGAGGTCAATAATCCGACCCGGGGTCCCCACCACCACATCAACACCTCGAGAAAGTGCATTTTGCTGGACATTGTAAGACACTCCACCATAGACACAAACTGTACTAAGATAAGGAGCAGACTCTTTTATTTCTTTTTCCACTTGCTTGGCCAATTCTCGGGTAGGTGCAAGAACAAGAACCCTAGGAAGTCGGCCATGCCGCCTATTCAAACAAATAAACAGAGAGATGGGAAAATGTTAAAGAAGAAGGACAGTCTACAGAGATCAAATATGCTGCAGGTTAAAAGAAATAAAAAAGTTTAACCTTGAGATATTTCGTCCTTCATCTTCCTCAATAAGTCGCTTAAGGATGGGAATTCCAAAGGCCAAAGTCTTCCCTGTTCCCGTCTTTGCACGAGCAATGAGGTCCCTTCCTTCCAAAGCAGGAACCAATACGGCTCTCTGTAAATAATGAACATTATAGCAAGGGCGCAAAAATGCAATAATTATATAGACAAAGTAATGTCTATGTCAATTGAAAGTCCAATTATGTGCAGACTGCTGGGTTCAACAATAGCAATGTCTGAGAGCATGCTTGCCCGATTTTGAAGTTGTATTGGAAGTTAAATTAACAAATATGAAGAATTCGATGGAATTTAACTCTAAAAGAAAGAAAGAGGTACACAATTGAAAAGCAAAATGTTATATGCTTGTGCTGCATATAAACATTGTACAGTTAATTCACAACATTTTAGCAGGAGCAGAATGAATTGATTTGCAAGTAATGTTGTTTTTTTTGGCATTCAAGATCAAAGTACTAGTCAAAGATGTTTGTGAGGGCGTAAAAAGGTATTGAAATTTGACCAACTTCACTAATTTTAAAGCTCATTGAAAGAAAATCAAAAGTGATCTTTGGTTAGAGATTTTGTTTGCAGTTACATATTCAATAGAGGGCTTTATAAATCTTTTAAATCAAATAAAATCCAACAAAAATGTTCTAAAATGATATCATACTTTTATAAGTTACATTTCTCCAAATAATCTTCTTCATATCAAATTAAATGAAAGAAAAATTTAATAAAAATTCCAATATTTAATCATGCTTCGTGAAACATTTGATATAGTGATGCTTCAAGAGATATCAACTGTAAGCAATAACAATAACAGTGAGGATTATTGCGCTTTAACACCCCAAAGTTTCATGTTTTTTGAACTTTGACATCCTGAAGTTCAATTTTGACAATTTGATACCCTAGAAAATTTACACTGATTTGTCAGTTTAATACCCCAAACACTGACTTCATTCCTCCCGAACTCAGAAAACTGAAATTGGGTAATAAAAAAGTGTTTCGTCATTCACTTCTGTGTTAATATTGTTGAACAAAATTCGCGTCAAGTTCCGCATTTTGGGTACCATCAAAGGTGACCCTTTAGGGTATTAACGTGCATATAACCCTACCAGTAATTATTCTAGAAAAAAACTCCTAGAATCAGAAGAACTTATCTCATGAACTCTAGAACCCTAGAGTAAAGTTACCTGAATGGGGAAGAGCTCAGCGATTCCCCTTTTGAGCAAAGAATCAACAAGCTTTTGTGGTAGGCCAAGTTTAGGAACGGCGAGGTCATCGTCATCTCCGCCGGCTTCTTCTCCGTCCTCAGATGCATAACCACCCTCTCCTTCCTCCTCCTTCTCCTCCAATTCAAAGCCAAGACCCTTGAAAGCCTCCTCGCTGAGTACAGAGTTGGGCGTTGCGATTGAGGACAGGGGAAGAGGCAGCAGCCTTCGCCTCGAGAACGCCAACGATGACGACGCGTTGCTGTTGCTGTTGCTGTTGAGGGCGAGAGGATGAGGAGAAGAAGAAGGGAAGTGGAGGTGGGTTTTGTCGGAGAAGGGGAGAGAGAGGGTGACGCCGGCCATGGGCACAGTCGACATTGATGAAATGACGGAGATAAAAGGCTTCACCTTTTTCCTCTGCTTCTTCTTCTTGGATGAAGGATTTTTCTGAGGGTTTATGATAAGGCCCGCCCTCACCTATGAATGGAATGTATGGCCTTACAAACCTCCACCTCTTCCCCCGAGTAGCAACATATAAAAGAGATAATATACGAGGATTTTTGGATAGAGTGGTATTAGGGGCACACCACCCACCACAACCCCAACCACACTCTCCCCTCTCATTGCTATAGTAAACCGGGCCCTACATGAAATTTTAAAAAACCCCTCTCATTGCTACAGTAAGCCGGGCCCCACATGGGATTTTAAATTTTTTAAAATCCCATGTAGGGTCCGGTTTACTGTAGCGATGAGAGGGGAGAGTGTGGTTGGGGTTGTAGTGGGTGGTGTGCCTCTAACATTATTTTTTGTAGCGATGAGAGGGGAGAGTGTGGTTGGGGTTGTAGTGGGTGGTGTGCCTCTAACATTATTTTTTTGGATAATGGGGTTTTCTTACATGGTAGTCCCCCACAATCTTTGATAAAATGAAATTAGACCCCAAGCGCCTTCATATTTTAGTCCTTCAAATCTAGGGCTGTCCACCTGGGTCTGTGGCCAAGACCCGGCCTGGTGTCCAGCACGGGCTAGGGAAAAGCCCGGAAAATCGGGCCAAGTTAAGTTGGTTCGGCGAAGCCCGACCGGGGACCGGACAGGACCGGCTCCCACAATACCGCAC